CCTTCGGCGTATCCTACATCGCCAACAGCACCGACGAGACAGTCCCGCCACCAAACGACGGCGAGCCCGTAGCCGTCCTCCACCTAAGCAAGGAATCCAACGTCTCCGTAGCCTGGTCCTGGGGCCCATACGACTTCCAAACCGAAGCTGCAGCCGAGAACCTCCTTATCGACAGCTTATCCAAGGTTAACAAGGACCCGCGCAATTCCACGGAGCCATCGCAGCCCTTCTGCGAAGACGACGTCAAGGCCTTCAAGAAGTGGGATTACTTCCCGCATTTCGAGGGCGATGCACTGTCTAATGGCGCCTACGCCAAGCTGAACAAGCTGCAGGGCCAGAAGAAGACGTACTATGCGAGTGGACTCAGCGGCATGGAAATTGTCGAGTGGGCCATTCGCGGTGGACGTGACGTTGTCGACACGTACTTCTAAGTGCTGTTACGAATTTCCTTGATTGCTCGATTACGACATTGTTGCACGGTATTCGGATGAAATGCCGTGCTGAACTTGACCTCGGTCTGTTTGCGACATCTGCGCGTATATACCTGGAGGATACTTGTTTGTTCGTTTTTTTGTTTATCGTTTATTGTTTCCTGCTGTTCGGACGATGATATCACGGCTGGATTTCTGTTGTTTCTGCGCGCTTTAGATGATGATACCTACACGCCTTCGATGAGCGTCATGATCAGTTGTTCCTGGAGGGTTCTGCAATATGAGTGCGGATGGGAGGGACTTTACGATTATGACCCGCATATGCCCCTACTCATGGGGTTCTTTAATGGTAATTACGAGTTTCATTCTGGTTTAAAAAGAGATGGAGATGGGAATTTCTACATTTGGTAGGATTAGATATGTAGATATGTAGATACTTGAGCTTGAACTAAAAATATATCTCTCTCACCACGATCTCGGCTCCCTGCTTTATCTTACCTTAACTCCAAGACTCCACGGATTTTGAACAGTACAGCTTTACATCAACAACAAAAAAAAGAGAGATAAATGGACTCGCGACGACTCGAACGTCGATCTCCCACTCCACCCTGAGCCTCATGTTGCATCCGGGGGGATCCAACAAGAGGCTCCATACCAGAGGCATGGGGCTACTTAAAGCCTCTTCGACGTGAAACGTATGGTGTGGGCGCTCTACCGTTGAGCTACGTGTCCTTGGGTGGTGATTGTTAGAGGTTTGCTGATCTAGGCGGTAGGTATAGTAGCATGGCAGTGTATGAGAGAGGTGAGAGAACTCGAAAGAAAAGAGCAGCTGTCTCATGAATGGCGATCGGGTCTTCTCTAGTATTTCACTTCAGATGCCAGAATACAGTTGCTATAATTCGATTTACTTCATGCTATCTAGATGTGGCAAACATTAAGTTCAAACTTACCTCAAAAAGACATTACAAAGTGTCCCTCACTATTCCAGACACCTTCTTACTCCGCCCATCCACAAAAGCCAAGCAAAGAAAAAAAGACGTGGCACGACTCGAACGTACAGTCTCCCACAACAATTGCAACGTCGCGATTCGAGATGACCATTGACTCCCAAAGCCGAGAGCTGCAGCTAACGGATAGGGTCGTGGGTGCCTTGCCATTAGACCACACGTCTCTGGTGGCCACCAGGTTCCGATGGGAGAGGGGGTGGTAGTAAAGTAGATAGTTGAAGGGGAAGAGAGGTCGTTGGGAGGTGAGTAAGCGAGATGGTGTTGGTCGTGAGTAAGACAAGAGACCTAGAGGCTGTGGGAGTTGGCATAGAGATGCACACGTGTGGAGTCACTGACTTACGTGCAGCCAAGAGGCCATTCGGTCTGCGGCATGTCTTGACCTAGTCTTGGGTACCGGCTCTGCGCCGATTGCGAGGTGCAATCTGTATGACTGGCATCACGATTGATCTCTGTACATGCGGAGATCTTGCAGATTACACATGTTTCAAGATTCCGGATTCACATTACCATCATCATCCTAGCCCAAGTGATAAACATCGACTCTCTTCACTTGCTACTCCTCTCATGTTACGTTGAGAGCAGGATATGGGTAGCAGCTTCCAACACCATCTCATACAAAGTGCAGTGCTTGAGAAGCCGCCGTAACTGATTTGGGTCCTGAACCCTCGCGTACTCTCAACACATCGTTCTATTTTCGGAGCATCGCTGACGTCGATTCCGTCAGTGCTAACTGTGGGTCAGTGTAGGGAAACGGGTCTAGGTTCAGCCCAACACGAGGAAGACGCGTGTTGCTTACAAGCCCCTCCCTCCTCACGGACGTGCTCGAACGTTATATAACTAGACCGTTTCACCTTGAACGTCTCATCACCCTCAGGCATACATTGGGCTGGGTCTTCCCATCTTTCTGCGTCGACTGATTAAATATTAAGCTACTACGGATTACTATCTACCCAACATCATCCATCCGGCCACATCCACATCCACGTCCCTGAATCCACCAAACCAGCGTAACAACGACGATCCCAGCCGGAGAATCCACCGCATAAAGATGCATCAATCCACCCTTTCTTTCCTCCCCTCCCCTCGTCAATCAACAAAAAAGTCAAAAAGGTATATTGCGAATCATTTTCCCCAAGAAAGGATAAGAGCATCGCGTCGTAAAGAAACGTTAGAGTGAAGAAAGGAGCAACCAGCCGCTACCCGTACTCAGCGGACCAGTGCTACGAAGGTAACAGCAGCAAAGTTCATAGACACGCCACAAGGTATGTCTACAAAGCGAGCATGGCAAGCATGACCGCGGCGCCGAGACCAGCGCCGACGGACATCTTGGAAGCAGCACCCTCGAAAGGAGGGGTCTCTGGGGAGGGCGAGGCACTGCCGCTGGGGCTGGGGCTGAGCGAGACGGTGACGCTGCCGGTGGCGCTCATGGTAGGCATGGCCATGGTGCTGTTGCTTCCAGTGGGGTAAGGGGTAACCATGGCGGAGCTGGATGTCTCAACAACGCTGCTGCTCTTCGCGACGTATGCGCTCGACGACGATGACGGGGTAGGTGTAGGAGTAGGTGTTGGTGTGACCATGGCCGGGTAGATCTCGGGCAGCAGGCTCTGGACGTCGGTAGGGAGCGCTTGGTACCAGGCTGGTGTGTTGCCAGCAGCGAGCGAAGATGCCATCTCAGCGGCGAAAGCAGACGACGAGGCGATCGCGTACGCGACTTGATCAGAAGGAATCGCCTGCGCGAGCTCCATGAGGACGGACGACTGGACTTCGGGCCTACGTCACCAGCATGTTAGCATGGATCTACATTGTAGTCATGATGATTATCGCGGGTAAGCCGCGCGTGGTAGTCGCGTCGCGTTTGCGGGTGAGGCAGCAACCGCAGATGGAAAAAGATGTGGAGAACAGGGCAAACTTACGCAACACCCTGAGCGGTCACGCCCATAGCAAGCGCACCCAACGCCAACGTGATAGTGTTGTACTTCATCTTGATATTCTTGTCTCGTGTTGAATGATCGTAATTACAGCGACTGTGTTTAGGGCTTCGTATGACGTGTTGGACAGCAACGGACCGACAGACACGTTGAGTTTAATAAGAGAGTGTGGAGAAAGTCTGCTTGATGATGACGACGCGACAGACAAACTGACAGTAAAAACTGCAGGGTGCAAAAAAGTGTAATGAGCGTAAAGGTTTGCGGAAACAAAGTGAGAGCGAGAGATGAGCAAAGGGAGGATCCCCGGCTGTATTTGAAACTATGGGCACAGGGCTCACGCGCGCTCCCTTCACGATAGGTTTGCTCGCCTGTGTGGTTGTCCCCTTGGGGGGACGGGGGGCCAGTGGGAAAAGCGGCTAACGGATGGGGAAAAAATAAGATTACTACACCAATCTTGTGACGGGGCCTGAGGCGGGCGACGCAAAATGGTAATTGGAATGGGGATATTGGCAGCGCAAGCGAAAGTGATTCGCTGATCGCGGTAACTCCTTTATGCTGTGCTGTTTCTGTTTGGTTGGGGGCCCTCCAGTTTTCTTGCGACGTTTGACAGTTTGGCAGTTTCTTTTCTTTTGCAAGCACCCTGTTTGTTCGCCCGCTGGATGGCCATGACAACTCCAAACACGACGGGATCGTGATCACGCGATAGAGTCGCCGGCGTGCGATGGCGGTTGGCGGCGCTCAGGGCAAGGTGTCTCATCTCCTTGAAGCGCGGAGAAGCTTCTCAACAGGCCAATCAGAGCGGCTAGCGAGGTCGCTAGTGGGAGGGTCAAATTTCCACTTTTTAAGCATGGCAGGGGTTCGAGTTGCCGTCTCCAGGGCAGCCCACATGGCCTCAATTCGTGTGCTGCAGGGACGGATGAGGTGCATATCGTGTTCTTCGCAGCCTCGTTTTGTCGCGTGCGTGGTTTGCGCTGCGTCATGAGTGCGCTCACGGCATGCAGGCGGAGGTGCTTCTCTAGGTACGAAGTGTATGGAATATCGCCAATCCCATAGTTCGTCGCGATATGCCAAGGGAGGATTGCCAAACTGAAGACTGACAAGCGACACTGCACATCGCAATTAGTCGCCGGCAATTCGGCACTACTGCCCAGATAGCAGAACACCAAGCGCCGTTTTCCCATCTGCCGTCAAGACATCGTGAACTTGGCCATCATAGTTGATCAGCATAACACATTTCGTTTATAACGGAACACATGTTCTTTTGGTTATACCACCGTCGAATAACGACTGGCGGGTTACTTTCACACGTGCTCGTCCACGGCGCAGGACTAGATCTGGTCGAAGCCGACGAGGACCGTTGGTAGTCAGGGTCAAAGATAAAGCGCGGGTCTCGCTATCGCGCTTTATTACGTACTATCGTTTCTACCACAACATGATTCACGAACGACTTCTGTAACGATAGTACGTTTTTCAGAAATGCTGATGCATTATGATAGCGTATACAGCTACATCCTAAGAGCTTGGGCGAAGATAATCGAGATCTACGGCACTCATCTACCGACAGAACATTTTAGATGAGGCTGGAACGATGCACATAGCTTCGCAATATCACCGAAGCGCCATTCCATCTTTCCTCAGTCCTCCATCTCCCTGGCGCGTGATACTCCAGCGACGGCAGTATGGTTCTGGCCACCGACGGGCTGACCGCACTCCGGACAGCGCGCTTGTTGCATGGGCATGCCGCATTCTCCGATGGCGAACTGCGTTGTGTTAGGTTATGATATTCCAGATCGGAGAGGACAAACTTACTGGATGGCCGTTCACACACTTGTACCAGTGCCCAGAATGAGTCGCGATACCGCCACGTCCGCTGACCATGGCCTTTTTGATAGACTCCAATTCTTCCTTGGATACTGCCTCGTAGAATTCCTTGTTGAGCATCTTCGATGCAGCGACGACAGCTTGTCGCAAGTTATCCCGTCCACTGAAGGAACTCTCGCAAAGCGTGTCCGCCTTTGACAACAGGTCCTTGGCGGTGTTGCGGTAATTCATGGCCTTTTCGCGATCGTTGTTCTGACCAGACTGAGCACTACCAAAGAACTCGGCGATTCGAGCGTAGTGCAGTGTAGCCTCAACCGCAAGTTTAGGCAGACTCTCACGTATGCAGTCATCAATGAGCCTCTTGGTGTCTTTGAGGAATTGATCCGTCTTGGCGACGGGTGAACCACTGGGAAATTTGAGAGGCAAGGTACTCTGGAAATGCTTCTGATCCACAGTACGCATGATCTCGAAGTTCTCCTCAAGCACTAAACAGCGTACCTTGATTTCGAGCAGGCCGCCGCCGAGGGTGATGCGTTGATCGCGATCGCGTTTGGCAGATTTTTCGGAAGAGTCGATTGTCAACCTTGCGAGCTCAACATCCAGTGGTTCACTTCGCGCCATACTATGCACGGTCGCCTGGTGTAGCTTGTACGTTGGTTGGTGTCGGATACCCATCCTATACTGGAAGGCCTTAACTGCGTTTAGTAGATTGGTAGTATCCTTTGCGCGATTATTGATCTCGTCGTTGATGGACTGCATGGTGAACTCGTGAGCTTCCTGACCGCGGAGCTGGACTGGCTTATCGGGAACAACCGACATGCGCGACTTTTCGAGGTCCTTCCTGACTTCCATGAGCTGGCCTTCTAGTTGCTGCAAGTCTTGTTGACCGTTGACGATGAAGCGCTTGGACATCTCATCGATGACAGCTCGGTTGATGAGCCGGTTGTAGCGCTGGGTAGCATACTGCTTGACAGGCTCTCGGCAATTGGGGCATTGTGGAATCGATGCGGACAGCTCGGCGTCCTCAATCAGTCCGGTAAAGGCGCCCGTCTTCGCATCGACGCTATATACGTCTTTGAGGCTGACTAGTCCGTCCAAAGTTTCAGTGGTGAAGAAATGCCCGCAACCGAGAACGACGATGGGCGATTCATTCAGATCGACGTCAGCATAACGAGACATCATGATCATGTCTGGCTGCTCGTCTGGCTTCATGCCACAATCTTGACAGTAATCGACTGGACATGCTTCACCGCAGATGCTTGGACACTGATGACCGCATGGGAGAAGCTTGGTGCATCGCTCGTCGCATGGTAAGCGGCTGCACGGGGCCGAGCAAGGCATTTTGCAATCGCCTTGATGCTCGCAGGACCATGTACAAGGCTCAACGCATGGAGCACAGGGCTCATGGCACCTCTGTGGACACTTTGTATGTTTGCAACGTACCTGAATGAGATTAGGAAAGTGCTACAAAATGTATAGGCATCACTTACTTCGCAAGGCGCTTGACAAAGACCGCAATCCGTACCATCGTGACATCGGCGATTGCAGTCGTGATTGCAAGTCCCATGCTTTCTACCACAAGTCTTCCCGCAAGTAGCGTGCTTGACCACTGGTTGATCGTACATATCCTTGGTATTGCACTGAGCGCAGGTTCCGGGGCATGGATGACCACACGATAGAGGTGTGTTGCACAGTTTTGGGCACTTGAAGTCTTTCTTGGAGACATCTACCGAGCACTTCAAGACTACATCGTGTTCGCAGCCAGGTACACGCTTCGAGATCTTGACGTCGCAGGGTATGCTGGTAGGATTCTGGGTGAGATGACAGGCGACGCCGTGCTTGACATGACCACATGGAAGCTGTACGTGGTCCATCAATATCATACACTTCCCACAAGGCTCTCCACATGTAGCCTTCTGGCATGCATGGTCGCAGGGCTGATGCCGGCGCTGACACGGCTGCTCGCAAAGGAAAACCTCATGCATGGCTTCCGAGTGACATCGGGCCCCACATTGATGGCCGCAGTCGAGACGGTCGGCGCATGCTTCCCTACAACCACCTTCAGGGCTCAACTTGTGAAAGTCGTCAGGCTGCTGTACTTGGGCGTCGGTATCAGGGTGTCGAGGGCAACGCAAAGCCAGAGCTTTCCCAACTGATTCGGTCGCACGTAGCATCCCGATGACTTTCTGCCACATGTCGACGCTAGAGTAGGTGTCTGCATTACCTATGAGGTACATGCCATGTTGAGCGCGACTCAGCAAAACGTTGATACGGTTTGTCGTTTTGAGAAAGCCGACGTTCTGTCTATCGTTGCTTCGCACAAGAGACACAATGATGATCTTCGCCTCTTCTCCTTGGAAATTATCGACCGTCGCAACCCTCAATAGTTCCGACAATTGTTTCTTCTCCAGCGGCTTGCCCTGGTAACTCTCGTGAGCGGGTACTGCGGTCTTTGCTGTATCGTTGTCTTCTACAGCGAAACCGTCCCTCTCAAGCGCTTCTCGATCTCGATCACTGAGGCAGATCTCAAAATCGCTGCTCATCGCGGCGCGGAGTTTCTGAAGCTGGCCAGTGTATGGGGTTAAGACTGCGATGTCATCGGGCTTGTACACACCCTGCCGAACGATATGCCGGACCATGGCATGCACCATCTTGACTTCCCACAAGTTGGACTTGGACTTCGTATCATGTGTATCTGCACCCTTCTCGTTTTCGAAGTTGGTGTGGTCGAGCCAGAAGACATTGCGGCGCATACCAACAACATCCGGCAGCTCGACGGTAGACGGATGGTCCTTGAGCTTATCGTAGATGGTTTCGCGAATCAGCGAAGAGATCTGTGGGCGCATTCGACGCTGTACATTCAGTTGAGCAACAGGCATCAGAGGCCGCCCGGGCTCACCGATCGAGAGTCGCTCGAACTGACTCCTATCGAGCGCGTGAAGCTTTCCTCGCTCGCTCTCGAGCGATAAGTCGCGGAAGTTGCTGACAGAGGGCCGAAGCTGCTCGTGATCACCAATCTGGATGAGATGCTCAACATCGGGAAGCATCGCCGAGATCATGTGACTCTCCATGACCTCACCGGCTTCCTCGCAGATGATCACCTTACACTTCACCTGCTGGAGAACCGAGATACGTTTCGCCAAGCCGGACGTGGTAACCCCAATGACGTCAGCCTCTTCTAGCAGTCGTCGGTTCAACTCCTCATGGATATTGTTCAATTGTCGTTGAGTTTTGGCTGCACTATTGACAATTTCGAAGAGCTCGCTGACCTTGTTTCCTTGAGCTTGCGAGACCCAGGAGGCGACAAGTGCGCTTCTCTCAAGCATTGACAAAGAAAACACGCTTATAGTCGCCCGCTGGATTATTTGCTGTATCGAGCTTTGAGGTAATGAGGGTTGGCCATATGCCTCAGTACCGGCGATCCATACATCGAATGGATGGCGGCCGGCTGTCTTGAAGCCTTCGTCATCGACAGAACGGAATTGATTGTAAATCTTCGGATATTCTTCGTGGATATGACCTTTGAGCTTATGCCAGTCTGGACGCTTCGACAAGCCATGAAGACCACCAAAGAGCATCTTGGCCTCCTTCTCATTCTGATCTAGATCCTGATAGTTCATCGCTGCCATATACTTCTCGGACTTGGTCTTCGTCTCCGATTCGCCGACGGTGCGCAGGTTGTGGTTGAGAAGCTTCTTGGACTTGCTCATGCCGCCAACCCGGATGAGCTTGTGGACGCCGATATCGATTAGGTGTTCGAGGAACTGGTCCAAGGCGTGGTTAGTGTAACATACGATGAGTATGGGACCGAGATCGCTTTTCTCCTTGATCCCCAGCAGTATCCGCATGATCTGTAGGCCCAGAAAGCTTTTTCCCGTCCCTGGAGGTCCTTGGATGAAGGCGAACTCTCGGGTTAGCGCAGCAATGAGCGCGCGACACTGTCCACGGTCAAGTTGCGTTTTGGCCTCCAGCTTATCGAGTAACGCCTGGTCGTCACATGATGATGTTGGTTCGATAGAAAAAGAGTCTTCTTTGTTGCCATCTTTTAGGAGAGCAGTCACGGGGAACTTGAAGCCAGGCGCGCGCGCGTATAGAGGTGGAGGAATTTCGTGAGTCCTAGTCGTCGAAGGACGGTCAACGTGCTTGTCCGGGACGATCCACTGCTGAAACGGTAGACGATTCAGTCGCTGCATCGCCTGCAGGCTTTCCAAAGTGGGTGAAAAGGTCGCCGGCATGACCTTCGGGAACTCTAGCAGAATACCACGGGCGGCTCCGATGTTGGCTTGCATGAGCATCTTGACCGTTGCTCGATCTTGAGTTACCAGACTTGCCGTCATGTAGGCCAATTGGTTGTGGTGTGTCAAGCTGTACTCCTTTGTCGGATCGGTATCCTTATTCGAGACAGTAAGGAAGACATGTTGAACGACAGCGTCCTGGATCCATATAAAAGACAAAAGCGACCCTTCATCGAATCGTCTGGACTCCTCCCACCAATTCACCTTCTGGGCAACACTCCTCTTACGGACTATCGCAGGCTGGAGGAACTCCATTTGAGCTTGTAATCCCATTCGCTTGTCGAGCGTTACGTAGCTGACGCGAGCGCTGGTGTACTGATTGGCGCGCATATCTCCTAGGTTGAGATTGGGGTGGAGCAACGTGTTGGCGTCTTGCGATACAGCATGCATGATTCCAGCCAATGACCCCTTCAGCTCACCGAAGATATCGTGGCGCAACAGGCGGAAGTAAGTATCAATGTGGCGTTGCACGCGATCCTCAAGGAAGTGTGGCTGGTCGGGATCGGTATAGGGCAGGAATTCCTTCGCATCGCTTATGATCTCATCCCGGGTCGGGAAGATTACCATGTCGCCAATGTCCTTCTTGTCGTTATCAAAGCGGTCCGAGGGGACTACGATGTCTCTTGGGTAGAATGATACAGGGCCGCCAGCATAGTTGTCGTCTTCAACCCCATTGTCACCGGTGGTTTCGGCGAGGAGTCCGTGAGCTCTAGCTACCAGGGCTCGAATATCATGGAGGCGATTGCTTATCCGTGTTGAGGTATCTGGCGATACCAAGTCTTTGTAGAGGTCGCTTACAGCCTGGATGGAGTCCACCAGCGGTATGATTTCATCATTGAACCGGGCTCTACGCTCACGTCTCAATAGCTCGAAGAGGGCCGTCGCCATGGCGAGAAGCGTCGTCTCGTGGTCTTTGGTAGATGACGAAGAAGATGTCCGAGCTGCCACCAGAGCCTTGCAAACCCGCTGGAGATATGAGACTGCAGTCCGCCCACCGACACCACCGAAGAGGTTGTAGATGGAACCGACGTGGGTGTCAACCGCGAGACATCGAAGGAGTGAGGAATGCGTGAGCGTAAGCAGGAAATGGCGGGCGTTGCTGAGGAAGGTATCGTAGTCCGAGCCGACAACCTTTGAGTTCAGAATGGCGAGGATATGACGATGACCGCTCTCATCGTCCGAATCATCGTTGAGGTCTTGGGGGAGCTGCTGTCGCCAGTCTCGGTCGCCAGCTTCGAGTATACCGAAAGCACCCTCCCAGAGGCGTCGCATGGTCGTTGGATCGGTTTCTGCCTCACCAAGGCGGCGCTTCCATGAGCTGTATGACTTTCGTGCCTCTCTCTGCTCTTCCGTCTCTTTGACCCGTGCGGGCTTGGAGGCCTTGGTATTGCCATCGTGCCTGCCTTGATTGAAACCACCACGACCGCGACCGCGATCTCCGCCTCTGCCACCTCTTCCACCACGGCCGCCTCGTGGGTTGCGTCCGCCGCCGCGTCCAGACATCGTGAGCTGATTCGGGCGTAGGTTTTAGCAAGATCTGCGAGAAGATGCGTCGCTGTAGAGACTGTGTTGGTAATAGTCTCCGTTGGGAAGGAGCAACTGTACCTTTTGTGCGGACGCTAGCCGTCGGGAAAACCCTGCGCGGTGTGGTGAGAGGTGAGAGTGAGATGTCAAGCGGTGAAGAAGCGGGCGAGATAACACCGCGAGTGCCGTATCCATCAGCAAACATTCGTGCATACGAATCTGGAGATCTGCATTAGTCACTTTCAACACTGCAGCAAGTCCCGTCAGGATATGGTGGGAGGTGAAGGGGATGCATCCGAAAGAGGGCTGGCGGGCGTCGATGCGGTGACAGCGAGCAGCGTCGGCGACCTCGCATATCTGAGCTCTACTGTCAGTTGAAGAGATATAATGTCTCAACAGGGTCCCGGTCGGGGGTGCAGAAGTG